TTACTAAAATTACTCACGGTAGCATCTGCGCATATCATCCTCCGTCTCCAAGTGGCGCTCTCAGCCAAGTGGTTAGACCACAACACTTTCACAATTTTGACCACTTAACTTCTTTTCTCACAAGTCTCTTAAATACTAAGGCATTCAAAAAGTCCCTACACTATTTGAACTGCAAAGTTCTTCACTAGGTCCATACTAAGCTCTAACACATATAGACATTCAAAGATGTCATCAAAATTCATATATTTCACACGAGCAAGAACCTACATAAATTTCACTACTCAATCATATAACTTGAAAGTCTCACATTATATCCTCACCGCGTTCCTAACAGGTCTTTTTCCTAGTATATTCATTCTCCTAATTTTACAAAAACATTTTGAAAATCCCTGCATCGAAACTATAGTTTTCGTCAAAGATTTCGAACAACGAAGTTTCAGCACAAGGAGAAATTCCCAGTTAGTTGGACGAGCGCAAGGCTCAATTATGCACCAACCAGCTTAGACTGTTATCGTCTTTGTGACAGAATTTCTCCCTACGACCTATTACCTCGTGTTCTAGTCCCTTCGGAAAACCTAAGTGCTCTGATACCAATTTGTAACACCCCCATTTTTCCCGCCCAAAATAATACTTGAAATAATAATATATTGATAACAATCTTGATTTATTCCTTAAAAATAGATAGAGTTTTGCAGCGGAAATAACAGTAATGGAAAAAGGGTGTGTTACCGCCACACCCAGCCCTCAACTTGACTGGATGTTAAGGCTATCCACCATGAGTTCAACCGAATTAAAAACTTGAATTCAAAATCCACTAACATTATTTAATCTAAGTGAAGACTACACTAAATTCTTCTAAAGCGCTCTCCAGGTTCATCAAACATCATGAGCTTCGTATTCATCATTACCTGCACAAATAAAGTGCAGAAAAAGAAACAAAGAAAAGGAAACAAAAATTAGCTTTAGAGCTAAGTAAGTACTACCCAACCCCGTAAAATAATCAGGTTTGGCGAAAATAATTTTTCATATAATACTATATAAAAATACTCACACCACCGAAATTCTTTTCTAATCAAAAACATCATTTATCAACTTTATAATCTCAAATACCCGTATAATTAAATATAATATTTATAAGCTCCCAACAATTAATTAATATCTCAAAAGAAGTATCACTTTTCAAAAATAACTTTTGAAGCTAAAAATATCACCATTCCGAAATCAATGTCACTTTCAGATTCTTTTAAGATGGGCGAAACTCAAGATTCCTCGAGCCCAATGAATCGTTGTTGTGTACGACTCATCCCGGAATTCCGGCTCCCACCGACCACCAATTGGAAACTGAACTTCACCCTTAAGTGTGCACACCCCCTAAAAGGGATTCCAAGCCCTCCGAGTAGTAAGAAGTCCAAGTAGTTCGGACAACGTCCCCCTACCTCACAATGAAGTAGAAACCCAGGTAATTAGAAACTACTACCGCGGCCACCAAAGAACTTTTAAAGTTCTCAAAAGAAATACCGGGAATCTCCCGCCACCAATATTTACCAGGATTTCTCCCGCCACCAATAATCAATCTAAACTAAACCCGCGGTATATAGCTCTAACCACCCTCCACATTTATCCGGATGTGGAAAAACCGACACCACAGATTTCTCCCGGGTGCTCACCTCTTATAAAATCCTTAATTTTATCTTGAATCAAGATATACTTCCAAAAATATTTCTCAATCTCTCTAAATAGTCTCAAAAGTATTTAAAATATTTAATACCGCAAAAAGTACTTTTAATTCGTATTCCTCAAAATCACATACTCATAATTCAAAATTCACACTTAATCACATAATGCATAATAAGCATATAATACGAGGAAACAATTTTGGATTGGCAGAGAAACTTACCTTAAGTCCTGATGCTCCTAGTTATCCTCCTCTAATCCGGTCTCTAAAGCTCAAAGAGAGAAACTCCAGCATGATGCAAAGCAATACGTATGGGATGAACCATATTTATGGAAACATTGCAAAGATCAGGTCATTCGAAGGTGCATTCTCGATACAGAAATTGCATCCATATCTGCGTTTTGTCACTCACATGCATGTGGTGACCACTTTTGAGGAAAATGAACGTCCATGAAAGTACTTGAATGTGGTTTTTGGTGGCCAAGCTTATTTCGAGATGCTCATGTCTGTTTTCAATCTTGTGATAATTGTCAACGCATGGGCAACATCTCTCGAAGACATGAGATGCCACAAGTTCCTATGCTCTACACGGAGATCTTTGATGTGTGGGGAATAGATTTCATGGGACCTTTTCCTAATTCCCATGGAAATCTATATATTCTCTTGGCGGTAGACTACGTATCCAAATGGGTGGAAGCAAAAGCCACAAAGACCGATGATGCCAAAGCGGTGACTGAATTCCTCAAAACCCGCATCTTCTCAAGGTTTGGAGTCCCACACATCTTGATAAGCGATAGAGGCACTCACTTCTACAACAAAACTGTGAGTGCCTTGTTGAAAAAATATGGCGTCACACATAAACTCTCCACCGCCTACCACCCACAGACAAACGGTCAAGCTGAGGTATCAAACAGAGAGCTGAAATCTATTCTTCAAAAGACAGTAAATCCAAACCGTAAGGATTGGAGCCTACGCATGGATGATGCCTTATGGGCATATAGGACCGCTTTCAAAACCCTAATTGGAATGTCACCCTATAGACTCGTGTTCGGTAAGGCCTGTCATCTTCCGGTCAAACTCGAACACAAGTCTTATTGGGCGGTAAAAAGATTCAATCTCGATATGGCAAAAGCGGGAGAGCAAAGAAAGTTACAACTCCAAGAACTAGAGGAGCTTCGATTGGAGTCCTATGAGAATGCCGTCATCTACAAGGAAAAGGCGAAGGTATGGCATGAAAAAATGATAATAAGAAAGGATTTCCAAGTTGGGGACAAAGTCCTTCTTTTTCTCTCACGCCTTCGCCTTTTCCCCGGAAAATTGAGATCACGATGGGAAGGACCATTCGAGGTGGTCAAAGTCTACACCCATGGAGCAGTGGAAATAAAAAGCCTCGACACCGGAAAAATCCTCAAGGTTAATGGACATCAACTCAAACCGTTCCTTGAAGGTTTCCCAAAAGAAAGCGTTGAATGCATGGATCTCATCGATCCAATCTTTGAAGAATGAACACAACAATGGCGTCGTGCCGCGACGTTAACTAAGGCGCTTCTTGGGAGGCAACCCAAGCAAGGTACATTTTCATTTTATTGTTAACTCCCTTGTCAAAATTTCAATTCTATTTTTGGGAGGTTGAGAGAGAGAGGGCACTAATCACAGGTTTTTGAAGGAAAAGAGATAAAAAATGCAGGTTTTGGAGCATCTGGGGACATACCCGATCGAGTACCACCTTATACTCGGTCAGGTATGGCCAAAAGAAGGGGAACCGGGCATTACTCGATCGAGGAAGAACTCAATTTTTGAAAGAAAATAGGCATACTCGATCGGGTATCACTATATACCCGGTCGAGTATGTACAGAAAGTCGAAGTACCAGGTACACTGATTCCCACATTCGATCGAGTACAGGGCTCGAAAATTGAAAAACAAGGGATACCCGATCGGGTATCACTATACACCCGGTCGGGTATGTACAAAAATGATAAAGTTGAAGAAAACTGATTCCCACACTCGATCGAGTACATGCCTCAAAACGTAGAAAAGAACATATACCCGATCGAGTATGGAATGATACCCGACCGGGTACCGGAGGCAGACCACTCTACAAATTCAGTTTCCAGCAATACTCGACCGGGTAACAACACATACCCGATCGAGTACCGGAGGCAGGCTGCTCAAAAACCCCACTGTCCAGACATACCCGACCGAGTAACAGCATATACTCGATCGGGTATACGGGCGTTTTAACCCCAAATCCGCCCCAAACACTTCATCTTCCCCAAATTCCCAAACCCAAATTCGAAACCCTCTCCCCCAACCTCCATTTTTGAAACTTCTCTCTACCATATCTCCTCCATTTCTTCACCAAATCACCCCATTTCAACACCAAAATACTCCCCTCATCTTCCTCTACACACCTATACCCACCAATCCAATTTTCCCCCAGTTTCAAGAGGTCCGAAAAAAAAACCTACCCCAACCTTCAATTTTTGGATTTCAAGCCCAAAATCACTCAAAAATGGCTCCAAGGAAGGAAAAAGGACAGAGCTCCAACACTAGGGAATCCATCCCGGGCTACGAAGACGTCATCTTCACCGACAACGAACACCACGCCCGCTTCATGTCTACCATTGAAAGGCAAGTAAAACCCTCTCGCTTTTTATACCATGATGCCCTCAATGAATTAGGAGTGTACAAAAGCACTAGAAATTTTTTCATGAGTTGAGCATGGATAAGATATTCAAAATGCAATATCACTTGAATGAAAAAATTATCTATGAATTCATAAGCTCGGTGCAATTTGAGACCAATGAAGCGGATTTTAGGGATGATAAACTCAAGTTTCGTCTGTTTAACCACAACCACTCCATAACGAAACTTGAGTTCGCCGAACATTTTGGTATTCCGGTCCCTTACCAAAAAACCATATCCGACAATACCGCTTTCGGCCATACCCTATGGACAAAGATGACCGGGGAGACTAAATTTAGCTCCTCCTAACTCTATATTAGTCATGTCCAACATCCTGTCCTCCGCCTATTTTTGAAATTCCTTGCCAACTGCTTGCTTGGACGTCCCAACAACCATCACACTAGGATGGGGATGTATGCCTAATGTCTGTGGCCCAATTCCGTGTTCACGTGGATTTCAACCTGTGTAATCTTATGTGGGCACATCTCAAAAAAGAAAGTGTAGCCAAGGGCGCTATTGTGGTGGGTGGGATGATTATGCATTTAGCCACCAAGTTCGGGTATATGGATAACTCTCCTATACCTGACTACTGTTTGATGAACATTTCTTGGTTGGGCCACTCGGGCTGTACAGCTTTTTCCCACACGGTTTATGGTAGAGAAAGACCAAAGAATATGTACAACTGGCTCATACACCCCAAACCCTTCAAATACTTCCTCCTGCCCAACCCAGAACTCCCCAAACTCCACTACAAAGAAGCAGTAGAGGAGCGCCATTACCTCTTCCCACACGCCCTTCCACCACATCTCCAGGAACCGGAGCAAGAACCTCCTCAACACCAACCCGATTACGAGCCCTATGCTCAACTCCATAGCCATCAAGACATGGGCCAGGACACCCCCGAACAAAACCAAAACCCTCCACCACCCGACTTCTTTCAACAACTTTTGGAGGGTTAACAACAATTGCTCACGGGGTACGCCCAAATGAACGCAAACTACACGGCTATGGATAACCGGCTAAATCAAATACAGGAGGAGCAAAGAGCCGGTTTTCAGCGATTGGAGGAGCTCAGGGAAGCCGATAGACATCGGTATGAAGAAGACCAACGTAGGTTCTACGGACCTATGTACTCTTACATGGCACAGCAGGGATCCTTCCATACCATGGCAAACCCCCCTCCACCACCCTCGTGGTATGACCCCACTCATTGGGGTAACTTTGGAGGATTTGGCTCCGGGGGTGGAGGGTACGACGGCGGAGATGGCGGGGACACATATATGGGAGATGGTGGGCAGGGGAGCGGCTTCGGAGGGAGCTACTACGGCGGAGAAGGCGGGCACTAGGGACAATGCTTGATTCAAGTGCGGGGGAGAGACTCATCATGGTATGTAATTTTTATTTCCACCTAGCACTATGCATGTAATTATTTTGAGCTATTTAAAAAAAAGAATAAATAAAAGAAAATAAATGCTAGTTAGGTTGAAAACCCAACAAAATGGGCATTCTAAGCAAAAAAGGCTTATAAAAAAAATGAGTGAGTTGGGGAGAATGGAAAAAGAAAAGAGATGCTAGGATGAAAACCTGAAAAGGCTCCTAGGCAAAATGAGAGATATGAGAGAAATGTTTGTTTTTGCAGGCACTCATTGTATCTCTTTGAAGAATAAGAAGATTCAGAAATCAAGGAAGAAGAAAGGAGGAGAAGAGAAGATGAACACTAGAAGGCCATAAAACCCAAGATGTTCTTTGTAATTTGAGTTAAAACTCATTTTTGTCATCCTTGGTGGTCTTTGTGTTTGTATGTGTTTTTTTTAAACTGTGGAAACTTTGGAGAAACTTGACACTTGTGAACATTTGATCTTACTCGAGACGAGTAAAGGTTTAAGTGTGGGGGAGTTGATACGTTTGTAATTTCCATTTGCATGTTTGTGTTTTTAATTAGTTTTGCTTGATCTTTACTTTGGAAATTACACACTTTTGGTGTAATAGATTAGTTTGTTAAATTCTTGTAAATAGTTTAGATTAGATATATTCTGAGCTCAAACAGGTCTTGATCACTCAAAGTACAGTTGGTGAACCCAAAAAGTGGAAAGAAGGTGCAAAATTTGAAGATAAAAGAAGGATCCTGAATTTTTGTCTATACTCGGTCGAGTATTAACTATACTCGATCGGGTATTAGGTTGAAACTTCAAATCGGATCAGATCCGAAGACAAGGAAACATGCCGGGAGGATTTCGGCCACGATTTAATGTCTATGCCCGATCGGGTAGACCGACATACCCGATCGGGTATGCCTTTGAGTTTTAAACGAAGATCGGTCGAGTATGGTCCGAATACCACTTTCTAAGCATACTCGACCGGGTATTAACATATACCCGATCGGGTATACTTATGGAAAATAGCCTAAAACCGATCGAGTATACCTCGAATCGAGTATTACACACATACTCGATCGGGTACCATGTATATACCCGATCGAGTACCCGAATCCCATCCCAAAAGCCTATAAATACACCTCCTTTCTTCACAAAAAGATATCCAATTCCTTTGTACATCTAAGCTCAGTATAGAATAGTTCTTTCTTTATATTTTTCATCATGTTTAGTCTCCAAATGAGGAGCTAAACTCTTCCATCTTGGTTTTGCTACTTTGAAGCTTAATGAATTTGTAAGTTGTGAGTTATTTTCTTTAATCTTCTTCCTTGAATATTAATTCTTCCTTGAAAATACTATTTCTATATCAAAGTTGGGGAGTGTTACTAAGATGACAATTAGTTAACATCTTGACATTGGTTATAGTAATAGCTATTTCTTCCTCTATGTTAATATTGGGGAGTGTTACTAAGATGACAATTAGTTAACACCTTGATATTAATCATAGTAGGATTCATATTCTTTAATATTCTTCCTTGAGTATTAATTAATTCCTATTCATATTTCATGTTAATATTTGAAACATTACTTAAAGTATCAACTAGTATTGTTTCTCATATTAATTATTACTAGAATCGATCGGTTAATAAGCTTTTTATTAATCCGGTTCTTTCAACGGAAGTAAACTTGGAATATTAATGCATGCATCTCATTGTTAATATGTCAAGGGGAATTAATCATATTAATTAAACCAATAAACCGCTTGTGTTGAGGTTATCAATCTCAATCGTTTTCATCTTAAGTTTATTGCTACTATCAAGTTAATATACAGCGCTTGTTCTATATTGGCTCGATAGTAAGTTTTATTAATGAACGCATCTCGTTATTAATAACTACCCTCGATGAACTGGATATACTCCTCGATTGAGTATTCGAGAGGAAGATAGTTAAAGATATAACCGGGATCGACGAACATTTCATTAAGTGGATAAAAGCAAAACCAAGCCTCCACATCTATTAATTAAACTCATATAGGTTGTTTATCTTAGTGTTAATTGAATTAAATCAAATCAAACTGAAAACCCCCCTTGTTACTATTTACATAGAAGAAAAGTGTTCCTTTCCATGTGGATACGAACCTTACTTCGTTATACTACGTATATTCGTTGTATTGTATTTATTTTGAGTGCACCTCACGACAAGTGCACGTCAGAGAGACAAAGAAATTGTGATTTTATCAATATTTTTGGATAAATATGATTAGTAATGTTGTGTTTGTGTGTGTGTATAAAAAAAACATACACGCATATACACATCAACATTAATGAATGATAGAGTTGTCATATTTAATACTACCTCCGTCCCGCTATGATTGTCCTATTTTACCTTTTTGGTCTGTCGCACTAAGATTGTCTCATACCAAATTTGGTAAAGTTTGTGTGGCTCTAAATCATTCTTACTTCATTCTTACTTTATCAATTCAATATCAATCACACAAACCACTTTTTATTAATTTGGGTGTCACTCCCTCTTGTCTCATTGTTAGCGGGACGGGGGGAGTAATATATTATACCAACTCACTAGTATCTTTCTTCATATGTGCTGTTAAAGTTAAAGTGCATGTATCTCCTAGGATACTAAAATAAAAAAAGCTAACAAAATGTTCGGTGAATCTAGACACCTAGGCAGCCGATAAAGCGCTCTAGGCGGGCAAGTAGGCGCCCTACGCGGCCGACTAATTCACCTAGGCGCCAAATCAATTAGTCGGAGCGCCTAGACTAAAATCGGGGCGCCCGGCCACCGCCTAGCGCCTAGGCGTGGACTAGTCGGTCGCCTAGAGTGATTTTTGCCCATACCACATTTCAGCCAAAAGGTCAATCGGGAAGACGGTCAAATGATATTTTGAAAAATACTTCACTATTTAAGCAAGAATATGTTTCATGCTTGACTATTTTATATATACGGCACATAATTCATTTAAATTCTTTCCATGCATGATTGAATATCCATCTATTAATTACGTGTGAAATATAGCGTCACTAGTACAAAAAAGGCTTTTCACACCGGTCAAAAAAGGCTTTTCACATCGGTCAAATAGTCGATGTGGTTCCAGCCCATGTGAAAAGTATTGACTTTTCACATCGGTTAAACAGCCGATGTGGAAATTCTTTCGACATCTGTCGTTTAGTGCCCGATCTAGAAGATAGTCCGAAACGGCGTTTTTAATGATATTTCACATCGGTTATAACCCGTGTAGAAAAGCAATCACATCGGTTATTTTATAACTGATGTAGAAAAACTTCTATTTTTCCCGGAGCGTAGGTTTTTCACATAGGTTATAACCCATGTAGAAAAGATTTCACATCAATCATTTATCAACCGATGTGAAAAGCTTCATTTTTTCCCGAAACATATGTGTTTCACATCGGTTATAGCCCATGTAGAAAAGCAATCACATCGGTTATTTTACAACTGTTGTGAAAAGCTTCAATTTTTTCGGTATTTTTCAGAAAAAAATTGCAATATGACCCCGTTTATACTATAATCACATCATTAACAGTATCATCAACTACTTTAGCACACTTTTTCACATGTTCACTTTATCCATCTAAAACAATAACAGAAGCTATTTTTTAATTCTTCCACAAATGTCAAACAAGTTCAAGTAACAACTTAGTACATAACAATCTTTGCACAAGTCTAGAGTAATATCACATTGTATAAAGTTACAAGTCTCATCATCACTCAAAAACTTAAACAAACACGTTCTTCATGTGTCGTTGATGGATTGCGTCATTTCTAAGAAATATGATGCCCAACGAGTTCGTACTTCATCAATCTCTTCTGATGAGAATGGTTCCGGATTGGCGAATCACTACAAATTAAATAAGAAAGTTATTAAAAAACATTACATGGAGCAAACCTATTGAAAGTAAATAAAATAATAATGTACCTCATCCCACATTTCAAGAATTACTGCCGAAACAATATTCAACATATGCAACATAACATAATAACCACATTCATAACTAACAACTTACATTCGAGACTACAAGTTAGAACAATAACATAATTACTAATCAGGAATTACGGTATTCGACTTGGTGCTACACAAATGAAAGTAAAAATAACATACAAAGTAAAGTAGTAAGTATATTTACCATAGGAATAATCCATTTAACTCTTCCCTTTCTTGAGTTGAGCCTACGTCTAGCTTGCCTCCATTGCACTATGTAATTTATAATATTAAATATATATATATAATAATAAATTATTTATGTAATTAAGATATACAATATATATTCAAAAATAAAATAAAACGGAATGTACAAAATACTTACGCATCAATAATATTTTTGAATTGTCTATTTGGCTTATTCCCCAAAGAAGACAAGAAGACAATAGTGTTTTGGACAGGAGAGAGAATAAAGAGCTGCCAACGATTCCTGTATGCATAAAAAATAAGATAAAAAACAAACAATAATTTAAAAAATAATAATACATAAAAAAATATTTTTATCTTCAACAAGGAGCCAAGTATGTGTTCTAGTAACTTTTACTTACTGGTAGTAATAAAGAGCCAAATAACATTGTTTTCCGCCTTCATTTAATCTTGTAGATATATATGAATGCGCTCGTGCGAATGACTCAACACCGAAATCACGTATCATGTCATCCATATGATCATACGTATCACCACGAACTTTCTCCTTGTGTGAAGACATACTTGGCATTTCAACTGACTCACCATGCCTAATCCACTCTGTATAGCTTTTACAAAATCCATCACAAAAAAGATGCTCTCGTATAAGCTCAACATGCAGTTGTCGCAAGTTTATGCATTTAACACATGAACAATAAAATTTATTATTACTGTCAGGAAGATTTTTCTGGGCAAATTCTAGAAACTCTTGCACTCCATTTTCATACTCAACATTAGTCCGTCTAGAATTTATCCAACTACGATCCATAATCACAGTGCTTCTGTAACATATTCAATAAAACATATCATTTAAAATTTATATGAGATGATGACTTAAAGCTAGGTAAATCAATTTCTTCTAACGAATCAGCCCCCTCCCCAGACCCCTAGCGCATCAGACCCTCCCCATCCCACCAGTCCCCTCCGCAGCTCCCCACACCCTCCCCAGCCCCCTCCCCATCCCACCAGCCCCCTTCCCAGCACCCTCCCCCAGCTCACCAACACCCTCCCCAGCTCCCAGCCCCCCAGCACCCTCCCCAGCCCCCCACACCCTCCCCATCCCACTAGCCCCCATCTCCAGCTCACCAGCACCCTATACATACTTTTATAGCCATACCTAAATACAAACATTTCACACAGGATTATATATTACATCCTAGAAAGTAATAATAACTCACCATATTCAACTGTAAAATTATTCAAATATCAATCCATAAGTTCATAACAAAACAAAAAACACATAAATAATAGGGTCGTGGGAGGAAATAAATGGCAACCAACATAAGGCAAATCGAAAGCAATCAATGCAGAGCAAATAGACAGCAACCAAACAGGCATGTCTATAGGTTAGAGGCACCTAGGCAAATGCCTAGGACACCACTATTTTTTGGGGCATCAATTGAGTCAAGTACTGTTAGTAATCTACGTAGTATATACTAGTTGTACTATACAATCTTTGTATAGACTACGTATTACTTATGTCCTCCTGGCTAATGTTAACTTCATTTTTTAGTTATGGACAAAGAATAAAACGAAGAAAACGAAAAGTTAAATTAACCATGTATATCAGTATATAACAAACATAATATAGGTACGGGCGGTCGTCTCCTAAGGTTTCCTAGGCAGTTTTCTCCGGCGGTGAGCCTTCACTCTTCCGGTGTTTCAAGACAGAGCAAGGCTCCTTGTTGGTAATTGGCAGGAGCTCTTCCCAACGTTCGTCTCCAGAGGTTATCTACGGCACTCAATCCGGCGTGCAGCAGGGTGATCCGTCTTCACCGGGCTGAGCGGCTTGCACCCAGTTTCCCTAAGCTTTGTGAGGCTTCTTTGGGATTGACGTATTCCTGCGTCGGTAAGGAAGGCGGATCGTCATGAGGAGGGCCGAAGATTCGGGATCGGGAAATCTCAAGGCTGGTTGCGGTGATCATATCCTACGGGCGAACCAGGTTCAGGGATCGAGTGGAAGGCCTTGCTTGGTGTGGCATAAAGAATTCCTGATTCAGGAGTTGGAGAAAGAAGAAGAGATGAGGATCCGTCCCCCTCCCGAACCGCCGCCATGGAGGAACTTTGCGACTAGGGTTTGGAAGACTATATCTATTTCTGTTTTAGATTGTTTGTGTTTTTACTTCGAACTACATGTTGTTTTGTTTGTGTTGCTGTTTCAATTCGTCAAAATTCTAGAATTTAGGACAGGTGATGAGAAGTCTGATTTGCCAGTCATTGACTCAGTTAAGCCCAATCCAGGATCAGCGAATCTGATTGCTTTTTCGGAGGTGATAGGTCCTAAGTCTGGTTCAAGACCAGACGACAGACAGTGGGCTTTTTGTCTTTTTGTAACCTGCTTACGTTCTATTATTTTAATATAAGCCACCTTCTTCCAAAAAAAAGTATATAACATAATCAACGGACCTGCAAATTTGTCTAGCCTATTTAATAATTGTTCTTCCTTTATCTTTGTTCCAATTTATTTTTTGTGTCCGCCTCACTTACTTTATCTCATATCGTAGTCGATAATGTTTGAACAGTAGTTACAATTCTTTTTTACTTTATTTACATTTGACCACTTTAATACTACGTACTAACTATGCAATTCCTTTTTTCTTAATAGTAGCATAATTTCTTTTTGCAATCTTAAGTGAACAGAGGTAGTAATAGTTACTCCGTAATACTCTACCATCCTAGAATAGGAAGTAACGACGCGTGAAGTAATTAATAATAATAGTATAGGAGTCTGATATAATTCCAAAATGTGAAATAAGAAACGGAAAATTTCACAAACGATAAACGGTCCAACTCTTATTTTTAATTCTCTAGTGATTGCTATTACACGTACTTTGAAAATCATGATCAACAATTTGTTCCCTACCAAATTTTTGAGTATTTACACAAATTCTTTTTCATTGTAAATAAAAGTTTAGTAAAATTTACTATTTTATATTCAATTTAAGATTAAATTGAATGAAAAATTAGAATTAATTTTTATTTGTGTTCAAAAGATCTGAAAAAAATGTAGTGATGTTCTAATTTTGTGTTATATCAGTTTTTATAATGATTGCTTTTAACTTCGGTGTTTGATTAGATATCTACATTGTTCCTTTCAGTTTTTAAGCAATAGAATTATTTGTACTACCTATATGATTTCTCGGGTTTAGCAACGTACTTAACAGTTATTAATATGAGGATGTAATTTTAATTTGGTGTCTGGGGCACCAATGTATCTTAAGACGGCCCTGCAACCAAAGCGAATCGACGGCAACGAGGAAATAAATGGTAACGAACGAGCAATTTATGTACCTTAAGCATTAATCTAGGTAAGGATGAGTTAAAAGGTCATTATACTTACCCGTTTGCTCGCTCGAACGCCGCCCTGTTCTCGCTCCAATACCGTCCAACGAAGAAGGTCAACTCACTCGAACGTCCTTCGGCGATTAAGATCTGCTCGCTCGAGCGAAGGCAAACTTTTGCTCGCCCGAACGCCGTACGATCAGGCTTTCCGCTCGAGCGCCGTCAAATCCTCTGTGGAAGTCGGGACCTGCACTCGACGCTGGACTTGCTCTCTCTCGCCACCGGGTCTAACGACCTCTTCTGTCGCCGGCCGCGTTCCTTCACTCACAATAACCTTAGGCGGAAGTTAGGCCACAACCTTCTTCTAATTTGGCTAGGTCTGCGATCTGTTCTAATTTGGTTAGCTCTTCTAATTCTGTGTTTCTTTTTTATTTCCTCTACATCGGTTTCAACCTATCTCAAATAAGTTTCCAGTAATACAAACAAATACCCTGTTTTTCTTTTCTACATCGGTTGCATAGATAACTGATGTGTAATATTTCATAAAATTTCAAATTATACCCCGTTTTATTTTTTAACATCGATTATAAAAACAACCGATGTGGAAACATTTATGGAAATTATAAAAATGACCCCGTGTTAATTTTTTACATGGGTTTTGAAATAACACATGTAGTTTAGGTGATGTAAAAAGGTATTTTTGTACTAGTGCGTGAATCCTTATAGAAAGGATCGTTGCCTGCTAAGCATGATTGCGTAATTTATTTGTGATCACTAGTAGAAAAATGTCTTACAGTGACACCAAATTAGTGTCACTAAATGTTTCTGTGACACTAAAAAAGTGTCGCTGAAAGTGGGGGCTAGTGACACTACAAGTGACGCTTTTTAGGTGTCACTACAAGTGTCACAGAATTGTGACACTATGATATCACAATATAGTGACACATTGGCGATATAGCTATTCGGTGACACTTTTACATCATATACTCTAGTGACACTATGGTATCACAGTGTTATGACACTATAGTATCATGAAAACATACACATAATACATCGGTTTTAATATATATATATATATATATATATATATATAATTTAATACTAATAAGTAACCAAAATTTGAAACATTTTTATTTATATATCAAATTCTCACATAAATGTGAATGTACATACTACATAATTCATAGGGGCATACCCCGAAACAATAATAAGTAATAAAAAATAATAAAAAACTAACTAGTCTAACTAGAAGGCTGAAATGGCTCTAGAAATGTATATGGAATATATATTATCATAGTTAAGCATCATATGCCTGAAGAGTACATATCAATGTCGTCTGCTAAGCAAGAGTACATATCAATGACGTCTGCTAAGTAATGTATGCCTCAAGAGACGACGTTACAAGCCACAGGAGGCCATGATCGTCTCTTTTCAGGAACAAGCAATCCTCTCTTCTTATACAAGTGCATACTTTCCACTTTCTCTAAGCAACTGTAAACTGAAAAACCTGATGGAAGCAAGAGAATAACAATCCTTGCCTGATTTGTGGAGTATCTTCCTACAAGTATATGTGAAAATTCAGTCCCTATTCGCATTTCTATATAAGAACATTTAAAGACTTCTAAAAATGATTGTAGAAAGAACTAATTCACCTTGACATCGATTCTTTCCAATATTCTTCCATGGTCCACCGAAAATTAAGAATGAAGTGGGCTATAGTTGTTTACAAAAGGAATAATTGACAAGAGTAATCCCAACTATGAATGGTCTGCTTGAAATAATCCATACTTGGGCATTATCAAAAGTCAAATAAATAAACAACCTCATGATCAGAATACTTACCATGTCATTGATTTTTCTTGACCCAACTAACCTGATAACTTTTCCTAAGATCACCAATTAGAGAAGAAAAAACATATAACCATTAGAACTTAGGTGACTTAAAATAAGTCATAAGTGGACCATATAACACCTTATTTTATCTTGCAAATTGCACATGATCTCTACTCCAACAAGAATAAGACATTATTAGCTTGAACCAAACAGATTCAAAAAGACTGTATTAGCTTGAACCAAAAAGATTGAAGAGAAATCATGTTGACAGAACCAAACAATATTAGCTTGAACCAAAATGATTGTCATTACCCTGTGACGCTATTCTTAAAAATAGTTCAGTACTGTAGTTTAATGCCATCTCAGAAGAAGAAGCAAATTACTTACGTTAGTGTACCAAAATCCCTCAAATAAAGTGACTACAAGAGAGTTTCGAGCAGCCAGAAGAACTTGCAAATATATATTGAAAGATGAAAATTAGTTTATAACACTAAATATCTGCTAGCTAGGATAAAACTAACTAAGAATTAATAGAGAAGAACCCCATGATGCAATATAGAAGGTTTTGTCACCGAGATTTGAGAAGAATATCAACAAGAATGCTTGAGAAAAGCCATAGCTAAAAAAGCTAAACCCACTGCTGCTATTGTAGGAGCAACCCCAAGGTTTACCAACCTGCAATAGTGTGATCTTCGAATATGCCAAAAGTAGTACGGAGTAATTTCTAAATTGATAAGTAAGTCAAGAAACAAAGAGTGAAATATTAGATGATTCAAATATGCCAATTATGCATTTCCCAGACCGCCCTATATAATATCCTACCAAATCAACTAAAGGTGCATAATGTATACTACTAGTCTTTAACCCGTGCATTGCACGAGATATGATAGACTAATTATAACGTGACTTTACAAATTGGAGAGTTTGAGGCCAGGAAATAATAAGAGTTGCACATCCTCATCCACGAGAACCATTTTAAACATGATTAGGAATAACATATAAAATCCAAAGTTAAGAAACAAAAGAGAGTGAGAGGAAAATCGTATAAGAGGGAAACCTGTAACCTCTGGACATCAGAAAATTAGCCCCTGTTCTTTACAATTGAAAACAATCCCGACACGAAAATTTATATTAGAAAAAAAACAGCAAGTTCAAAACCTGAAAGAGATTGAATCGAAATTCTACAAAAAAATCCAAAAGAACTGAAATGAGTTAATAATGAAATTAATTTTAACTTCACCGCTTAACTGGATTAATATAAATAAAATGTCCAATTGGAGGCTTTACACACATACTTGACACACAATAATTGAAACGCACCAAATTAGACTCCACGATCATTGGAGGCTTAATTAGCACGTCCAAACATAGTCCCAAACACACTGATCTTCTTGTTTAGATAAAAGGTATATATAGTAAGAGGCCAAAAAATAAGTATAGTAGTAAAGGGCATACCACAAAATCTATCAATTTCTTTGGTTTGTATCAGCAAAAAAATGAGTAGGCTGAAGAGGATATCATATAAAAACCATTCAAAAGGGTAGAATTGTTGACAAATACCAAAACAGGTAAACTGTCCAAAATTTCATATGAAGATATACATATAAAATATTTTATAAACCAACTTGTTGTTAGCATTAGTATCTGCACTTCTAGCACCCCAAACATTAGATATGCAACATAGTGCAACATCTTCCTGCCTGCCCAATTCAATACATAATCTAATATATTTTTCTATCATGAATTGTAAATCTACTTGAAAGTTGAAACCACCTGGACAGCCTCAGATTGGGGTTAAATTTCTTCACCTTTTCTTAATATCTATTTTTGGGTTCTTCTTTTCATAAAATTTATGCATGATTATCTTGTCATCAACCAAATCAATCAAATCCACACTTGGTTTATGACCGGCATATTTTTTTATTAGGAATTTTCTAGCAGATTGGATTTCTTCTTCAGAAGCCTCCCTACTGACTCAAAGTCGTTTATATAAATACATTATGTTGATCCTAAGAAAGATAGCTACACTTAAGAAAATTAAAAGGAAAAGCTTTAAATAAACAATAGGAAAAACTAATATAGAACCAATACCATAGTAGTTACGACTTCTACATAGTACATATAAAACCATAGGCAATATAACTCATAGGCGTAACTCATAACTAAAGACTTGAGTGATATCTGTCAAAAGTTCGAAAGTACTTCAAACAAAATAAGAGAAAGTGGAAATAGTAAAAATGTATGAAATTAAATGAAGGGAAGACTGAGTTAAATAGTACAGAATACTTCGTATTAAATGCTTAGGTGGTATTTCTTTGTTAAAAAAAGTATTAAAAATATGAATTGGATTGGAATCTTCTATGAATTTGACACTCTCTATGTGTACAGATATAAGTAAGAAGAAAATGAGGTGTGGAGTGTAAGAGAAAGAGAGCAAGAAAATTTATGACAGGGGAAAGAAGGGTGAGTAAAGGAAGAATATATTTACCTTGCTTAACTAATAATTATCATTTTTTCTTTAAATTTAAGATCATTTTGTAATTCGTGGCAAATTGATTTGAAATACAACGACCAGCAAGCAAATAAAAAAAAAACTAATCTGTCAATAAAATATATGTGTACATCGGGGGCATCAAGCAGCCTAACTCAACTAAGCAAACCCATGGAATTTAGAAAGTGTTGAATACAAATACCTATAAATTGAAATCAATATGACCATCTTGGTTATCAATATGACCATTATGGAATTGAATTAGATTGAAAATCAAGAAATGTTTCTGGTCATTATATATGAAAATCAGCCCCATGGTAATGATAAATCATATGTTTACATTTTTGTCCGTTTCAGGACTGATAGAGTAGCGCAATAATACCAGAAGAATGAACAGTAAAGCTAGCTTCAGAAAACAGTAAGTTTCATAAATGACGGTATACCGTACAATCCAGTCCCAAAGAGAAGAGAACTATTCTCTAATCTTCCCAAGTCCCAAGACAAGTCTAAAACAGCCTCCCTTTATTGCCCACTCCCCTTCTAATTATACTACTCTATCTATTACATTTCTTATTTACTCTTATTCTACCAGGTCCCTAATATATCTCCCCCTCTAAACATCCACCTTGCCCTCAAGGTGGGCGATAGTAAGCAGCCAAGATCTTCTGCTTCCTCTTCATTCTTGCGCCTCACCCTTCCCAATACTTGACTGGTTGATGGACTAGGGACTTTCGTACGAGATCTTTTAAGATCTCAGAACTTTCAGTAGCCGAAGAAATCAGCAGTGAAGATTCATTCACTTCAGTCTCTTTCCAGCACTTGATAGTAAAAAATATTTCTTCACTTTTCTGCAGCTCCTCATATTTTCCAGTCTCTGAAACTAATACTGTATTGGATGCAAGCTCCTTTACGTACCTTTCAACTTCTTCCTCTTTTAATTCTTTACTTACCTCATTTGACAAGGAAAACCTCAAAGGTTTTAGCAAGCAAGTAATGAGATGCATAATTCTAGCTGCAGTTCATATAACTAAAGAACATGAAAGCTCATCTCCCATGTAAAAGTTCCAAAATTGGTTTTCTTGCACGTAGACAGATCTATTACCATTATACGACATGGCCATTTTCCAACCCTGTTCTAATTTCACCTTTTCATTTGCTTCATTATGTTGTTCCACAAAATTTTACATTGTTTTCTCATTTAAAGAATCTGAAATTCTGAGTGCTCCTGTTAAAAAACCAACCCACAAATTGGTAGAGGAATCAAGGGTACTTGGATCCCTTCCCTTCAGATTCACAAGAACAAAGGAAACAACTGGGGAATAGTATTGATGATCCCTTGAATTATAATGGTTAGAAAGTCCCTCTTCAATTTTGGGTTTCAAAATTGCTTGAAACATGGTGATAAGATGCTTCTCAGTAATCAATTTCTGATTAGGTACTGCTATTTCAGCCCCTTTTTCAGTCTTAGCAAGCCTTCTTCTGCTCACACCCTCCCTCCAATTTAGAAGACCTCCATGTGAAATCATCACTACCCCAATTTGAATAATGGCATATGATTCCCAAGAAAAAAGATGAACCCGATCCTTAAGAACCACTGGACCAGATCTCTTTCGTTCCAGGCATGAATTCCCTAAAATTATGTCCTCGATTTTAAGTAACCCAGTTTCAGAAGCTCCCAATGGACATGGTTGGAGAACCAAATCAACAATAGAAACGATGTTCAATCCTTCCAACACAATGTTTGATGACTGGCGATACATCATTTCAGTCTTGCAGACATTTGGCCAGTTCCTCTTCTGTGCAAGATGAGAAGAAATATCGCATACGTGAAGAAGCTTGAACCTATTGGTTTCAAGGTCTGACTGGTCAAGATCGTACTTGGAAAACATCACACTTCTGGAAAATCCAACTGTTCCATCTTCAGGTTCAAGATTAACTGATGGTTTATCACTGAATTCCTCTTCTCCATAGGTGTGCTGCTGAATAACCAAATTCTGCTGCGACTCTGGAAATTCAAATAGAGATTTCGAACTGGATTTGTCTGCTCTAGTCAAAACCAGAGGACCGGAAGAAGTATCTTGTGACTGAGAAGGGTATTTGCTTTTCGAATTCAAGAAGCGATGCACAGTCCTTGACCGTCCTCGCCTACGACATTTTTGTCGCAGCTTGGGCTTCCCCTTCTCCAGGTTTGAGGACTTCTCTTTCTCTGGTTTTGAGCTCGTCTCCTTCTCCATGTTTGAGCGCTTATCCTTTTCTAGGGTTGAGCGCTTCTCTTTCTCCACTTTTCCGCTCTCAACCTTTTCTGCGAGCTTCCCCAATTTTCCGCGCCAATCCTTTCTCGAGTGCGAAACAGTTTGCGATTCCTCCAATCCTGTCCTCCTTTCCTTCGCCCCATCCTTTTCTACCTTTTCTTTGCTCTTCGTATGCTTCTCCTTCGCTAGTTTTCCGCGCTCCACCTTTTCCGCGATCTTCTCCATTTTTTCGCGTGAAACCTTTGGCGACTGCGAATCAGAAGGGACATTTCGCGCTCGGTCTCTAGTTCGCCTGCGCGGTTGATGACCGATCTTGTTTATTTTACTCCACATCTCCGCAACCCAATCATCGAAGGCTTGTTGATTTTGTTCGATCTTTTCTTGGGTCTTCTCCATCTGCGACATATTTCTTTTAGCGACAAATATTCCACACCAGCGATCGTAGCAGTCTCTGATACCACTGATAGAGTAGCGCAATAATACCAGAAGAATGAACAGTTTCATAAATGGAGGTATACCGTACAATCCAGTCCCAAAGAGAAGAGAACTATTCTCTAATCTTCCCAAGTCCCAAGACAAGTCTAAAACAGCCTCCCTTTATTGCCCATTCCCCTTCTATTTATACTACTCTATCTATTACATTTCTTATTTACTCTTATTCTACCGGGTCCCTAACAAGGACTTCTGAGAAAGAGTATAGATTCAGAAATGATATAAGCAACAGAGTAAAACATATTAGATGTATGTACTTATAACAGCTTAAACTATAAACCTTAAAATTTTAGGGCTTTAACCGAACATTTGGGGGAATCTGAATTGATTATTCAATAAGCTAAAATGAAAGTTCACACAAAAAATATTAAAAAATAGAGAGATACGTGGAGTTTAGTATATTACAATTTTGAAATCGTTGAAGCCAGAAACCTTTCCAATGGAGAGAAAGCCGCTAGGAGATGGGCGATCGGAAGAGCAGATGCATCCGAAATAACCGAAGAATACCTGAGAGTTTAGCGGAAATGTGGAGTAGGCGATTCTGCTTTGTAGACTTAAGCAGAGTTGGCCAAGAGTTTGGTGGGAATAAGAAAAGCTTTCTGAACTTACGCAAATGCCCCTGAAATTAGGCGGGACATGGACTTAGTTCACTTAATAATAGATTAAAAGAAATACATATTAACTTGCCTAAGAAAAACAGGCATCAAACCACTGAAACAAAAAATGCTCTGGAATATTAAATCAACAATTATAGCAGCACCTTGTAACTCCCTCATTATGAGCTTAAAATTCTGAAACAGACGACCACAAAATCTTTGCATTAGTGGAGTGGGAAGTTTGTAAATTTGAAAGAAAAATTGAACGCAGGTTATATGCAATTGAATAAGAAGGATCCATTTCACACAATACAAATCAATATCCTTGTGTGAAACTTCATATCATAAAATAAACTATACTGAAGAATCTATTTTGGCCAATAAATCCTTGAAAATCAAAATGATATAACATTCAACATTCAATTTAGGAATTAGTAATTACAAGTATAATCGAAAGGCAAGCCGTGAAAATTGGGATTTGAGAAATGCCTCTAAATTTCAGATTAGGTTTACAAAATTTAGGTTGTAGTTTGCGTGTACCAGTGCCGCAATGAAGATGCAAGTTTGGTGGTGGTGTGCTGCTGCCGTCGAGTGCGGATGGAAATCTGGAACACTGCGTCGCTATGAGTCCGAGACAGAAGCACATAGCCATGGAGTGAAGTTCGCCAGCGGCGTATCTGCGAGTGAACTTGTAAGGTGGACCGGAGCTTGGAGGAGGAGAGAATGGAGTGTAGTTGGCCGGAGGCGTTTCTGCGAGTGGAACCTGTAAGGCGTTTCTGCGAGTGGAACTTGTAAGGTGGCCGCCGGCGTTTCCGAGACGGAGCTTGCACCGGTGGCGTTTCTGCGAGTGTAGCGATTGAGATATGAAGCAGATAGTTTGGAAAAGTTAGGGTTGAGGAGGGATAACTTAGTTTTTAAAAGACGTAAAAAAAAATTACTCCGTAAAACCAAATACACCTATCAAACAAAGTGTCACTAATATGTATTGATGTAATAATGTGTTAATTCTGATATATAAGTGTCATAAATATCCTATAAAAATAATAGTGTCACTAACATAGTGTCACTGTAAGCTGTTTTTTAGTAGTGGATAGTCACTGTATGCTTATATATGGTATGAGAATGATTTACTCTCCCTTCCATGCGTTGATATTTATTCTTGTGTAATCATCATTGATATATGATCCATATATATTCGAGTCTATTGCCTTTAAAAGAAGTATCACTAAAGAAGGAAGGCTTTTCAAATTATAACAAGGTAAGTCTCATTTTTTATGACCCATCCACTCAAGGAAGGAAAGCATCAATGGATCTATCTCTAGCAGCCTATAAATCGAGATCAAAAGGAGGAAGAAATGTGTGCTTGCCCAATACAGAAATCGAGAGACATATTCACCGAAGAAATACTAAAGTTCAAGGCACCTGAAACTGTTCACATAGAGTTCTAGATATCGTTTCTACTTTCCCTTCTTCTCTTTGTAATGGGGTTTTAAGGATTGACTAACTGTAGTATCCTTGGGTTGGTAAGTATGTGGTGAGAGCTTTGTTGTAAAGCTGAGAGGCTCTCTACTCGCAAGGTAGAGAAACATAATTCTTCCTAGAGAGGATAGAGTTGGGGTGACCCAAGGATAGACTAGGAGAGTCTCTCGTGTAACCATTCAAAGACTTTTAGTGAAGTTGTTAAAATTCCTCCGAGGGAGGTCAAAGTTTTTAACCCCTTTTAATTTGAGCCAAAAGATTTTTCCTCGTTAAATCCTTGTGCACTTATTTACTTTGTCTCACCCTTTACCTCGCACTAGAACTTGGCGAAAAACTGTCACGGTTCCACACATACAATTCACCCCCTTGTGTTACTAACCGTTTCATCAGCCGGTAATAGGATTTGTTGCAAGTTTTTATCTAAGATTAATTGTGTTATGCTTAAACTATATAAAATAAACAATAAAATAATAACATACTCCGTACAATTTAATTAAATGACATTTGCAAGTAATAAATTCAAACTAGCAACCATGTGATTTTTTAAAAAAAAACATTATAAGTACTGAAATAGTAAACTAGCAAGCATTTGAATGATGAAAGTTTTTAAACTAAAGTACGGTACCACTAGATAAACTAAAGTACATAATTTTTTGTTAATCTAGCGGACTGCTCGTACTCAAGGGTTTTGGGTGGATTTTGAGAATCTCAAATTAATCTCGTGAAGTCGAGATAATCTGATTTTAACAAAAAATTAGTAGAAGTTAATGTGTCTTATATTTTCAGAAAACGTGTTAATAGTGTTAAACTTCTTTTCTTCTATTTTAAAGGTGGGTGGTAGCATGGTAGAGTTGTATAGATTTTTCCTTGAATCGAAATAGTTAATAGTTGGGCCGGCCCAGTTTAGTAAAGATGTCTTTCACCGATGAAGATGTACTAAACTGAGGACAAAAAAATTCAAAAATTTCATTTATATAAAAGAGAAATGCTAGAAGTTCCCCATTTTGGGATACTCCATTTGTATCTCACTGGTTGAGTGGCTCACAAAATCTCAACCCAATAAAATAATTGCTTCACTTTAACTCATTTCTTTTGTGCACCACAAAAATAGAATGGAGGTACAATTTGGGGTACAAAATGAGTTAGCTTTATATTTTCCCAAAAGGGTAAGAAGAACTATGTAGTTCTTCACTTCTTTGTGCACACTAGTTTTTCACTCGTGCGATGCACGGAGTTAGAGTTTTTATAAAAGAGAAAAGCAAAAATGTTACTCTCTTCAGCTCATAATTAATTCTTTTTGATTTGGCTGTGCGATTAAAAAGTAGAAATTTTGTTGTTTAAAATTGTGTAGATGAAACAAAAAGGTTATGAATCACACATTTTTTGTCAAAAAAGAAAGAAATATTATATATTGGAACATACAAAAAGAAATCTTGAAGTTTATTTTGAGATAGAGGTAATACATGATATTATCATAAAAAGTAAAATGTAATAGTAATACCCATACCTTGTACGTGAGGAATATATCCTAAATAATTTAATTTTGTGAATTAGTGGGGAAAATAAAGCATAAACATGATTTAATTCAATGATGAGATGAAAACACTATAGTGATAGTGAAAATTAACGTTACATAATAATCAAAGAATAATATTAGAAAATGTGTAAAGGAAGTGAAACATGATAAAGATTATATACCCTATTATTAATAATCATATATTTTAGAAAAGTTTCATTAGATTTAACAATATAAAAATATAAATAGTGTAAATAGTGTGAATAATCAAAACTCAAAGGGTAGATAATTGATTTAAAAAGATGTAAGGTTGAATTAATAATTTTAAAAAGATGTAAGGTTGAATTATTACTGCTAATAATAGTTACTTATGGAGTAACATTGAAGAAATGTACTGCTAATATTATACAAAGTCTTAATTTTGTCATTAGTGAAGTACAACTTCCACACAAAACGAAGTTCATATAATACACTTGAACAGCGCAACTATTAAAAAGATTTTGTTTTCTATTTTTAATAATTATGATTTAAAAATTCAAACATCGTGATGTAAAAATAAATAAATTTAAAGTTTAATTTATTTGTAGTTACTTCAATAGCCTGTTTGGCTATTAGCCTTATCAGCCAATTTTTCACTAAATACGTATATTTTGATTTCGTGTGTTGAATTGTGTAATAATAAGAAAAAATAATGTTGGAGTTACTTTTCTGGCTGTATTGGCTGAAGTTATTGTAGATAATCATTTTAACTATTTTTAATATATTTTTTTCTTTATTTTATTAAAAACAATATTTTAAATATATTTTATATATATAAATCAGCAGAATCAGCCAATCCAGCCACTTCATCCAGAACTTCATAAATTTTAGCGATATCAGCCAATTCACCCTATTTCAGTATTAACAAACGGGGTCTAAACCGATTTTGTAAATACCATATTTTAATTATGAGATGTTCATTTTAGTACTTGAATCTATGTAAAAAATCAGACAAAAAAAACTCCGGTAGTTGAAGTGTTTATAATATTTTTTTTTACTTTTTATATGCAATATTAGTCTCATATGAAATATTATAAAAAATTATGAAATTTGTTATATTTTTATAATAATTAGAAAACAAATAAAAAAGTTACAGGATATTAAATAAATTTAGAGTTTTTATTTTGAATGGACCCCATGTCTATCTATTAGATTATATTATATGGGCTTGTAATTTAAATCTTTAGAATACTTAGTACATAGTTGGGCCAAGGGCTCTTATTTAGACTTAACCTCATGTGTATATATTTATAGGAGCTCTCTTGTACATGGAAGGAAGATAATACAATTAATAATATTCCCCAAATACTTGATATGGTATCAGAGCCTTCGTGATCCGATAGACCTGCGCAGTCAAACCCTCGCGGAAGAACTCGGCCGAACAAAGGTGTAGCAGCGCCAGCGCGTCTGCAGCCCTTCTTCTCCGGCGATGGCTGATTTCTCCTCATCTTATTACCTTGCTTCCGGCGATCAACCGGGTAATATTATCACCCATGTGGTTTTCAAGGGGGATAATTACGTTGGTTGGTCTCGGGCG